TCAGCAGGGTGTAGTGGGGCTTATAATATAATAATAATAATAATAATAATAATAATAATAATAATAATAATAATAATAATAATAATAATAAAGTTGGAAGGGACCTTGAAGGTCATCTAGTCCAACCCCCTGCTCAGGCAGGAAACCCTATACCATTTCGGACAAATGGCTGTCCAGTTTCTTCTTAAAAACTTCCAGTGTTGGAGCATTCACCGCTTCTGGAGGCAGGTTGTTCCACTGGTTAATTGTTCTCACTGTCAGGAAGTTTCTCCTTAGTTCTAGATTGCTTCTCTCCTTGATTAGCTTCCACCCGTTGCTTCTTGTCCTGCCTTCAGGCGCTTTGGAAAATAGCTTGACTCCCTCTTCTTTGTGGCAGCCCCTGAGATATTGGAAGACTGCTATCATGTCCCCCCTCGTCCTTCTCTTCATTAAACTAGACATACCCAATTCCAGCAGCCGTTCCTTAGATGCTTTAGCCTCCAGTCCCCTAATCATCTGTGTTGCTCTTCTCTGTACTCTTTCTAAAGTCTCAACATCTTTTTTACATCGCGGTGACCAAAACTGGACAGACTTAGCTTGACAGACTTAGAACTTCTAGACCAGGGGTAGGCCACCTTGGCTCTTTTAATGACTCGTGGACTTCCAACTCCCAGAATTCCTGAGCCAGCCATGCTGAGGGGAAAGGGAGAGGTTTCCAAGCTGAGCCATGGCTGGCTCAGGAATTCTGGGAGTTGGAAGTCCACGAGTCATAAAAGAAAAGAGCCAAGGTGGCCTACCCCTGCTCTAGGCTGATGCATCGGGGCCATCTTCTCTTAAAAGGAGTCTTGTCTTTTGCTGTGGATACTAGCTTTCCTTCACTGAATCATCCCAGGCCCACATGGAACATGATGATCTCCCCTACGCCCTTACAGCGTCCATCTAGCGTTGCGCGCAGGATCCACCAGGGGGCTCCTGGGGTAGCCATTTGACAGGCAGGGCAGCACTCACCCGCTCCCGCTTCAGGAGGGAACTGAGCATGCGCCCTTTCACCAGGTCGAGAGAGGCGCGTAGCGTTTTGCAGAAAAGGCTGAAAGTGCGTCCGCCGTTCCTACAGAGTCCAATTCTGGTCTCCCTCGTCCGCCCCCCTCGCTGCGAGCCTTAGGCTGAACCTTCCCAGGAGTCCCAAAGGCTGCAAGGGAGCCTTGCACGGATGGAGATCAAAACCTGACTCCGGAGTTCGGTAAGTGGGCTGGACCGTGCATGGAGACACGTAAAACTTCATCAGGTTCGGAATCGTGGAAATGGGGCAGTTCGGGGTCCCATGTTCCCCTGCGGCCCCCCTGTGCATGCACGGGCCAGGCAGGGAAGAAATCAAAGCTCCGGACGCGCTGCGTTTCCTCCAGGAAGAAAATCAGGATCGCCAGAAAGGTCGGAGTTATTCAGGATTAGGCTAAAAGTGGGGAACCTGTTTCCAGGAGATGCCTGAATGAAAACATCATGTTAAGCTGGTTTACTGATTCGGGTATTATTCTGTTTGCATTGAATGGTGGTTTGTTGATTGTGGTTTCTTAGGTAGCCATAGCAGTTTGGGCCAGGAGTTGAATGGGGTTCTGCTGGCTAAAGTTTTATGGGAAATTCAAATATTGATTGATTTACCTATTAAATCGATTTAGAAAGCCACTCATCTCAATGGCTGTTTGTCACCTGAGACGTTTATGATCTGGATTGCCCAGAGGTTGGTTTTCAAGCTGTAAGCAGCCATCAGAATGATTTGAACAAATAAGTAGGATTTAGAAATCAAAAACATATTTTAAATTTATGTATCCAAATTGTTTAATCCTTGATAGAAGTTGATCCACCAGCTTACTACAGAATTTTTTTCCACACACAGATAGGTCAACCTACCTAACTAATATTTCCCCCCTCTTCCCAGATATTGGTGAGTTCATAAGAATTTCTTATTTCGTTTTTTTTGTGTGCTCAGTTAAGTTGGTAACTCTGTATTTTTGGAATTTTCTTTTCCATTTCAGATATATAAGTTGGAAATCTTTCCTGGTTCCTTTGGAGTTCTAAGCATCTTGTGTGGGAAGAGGGCTGAATGGCCTTTAGGAGATTTGGCCAGACCTCTTGTGATTAGGAAGACCTGTGGAGATCCATCAGTCCAATTTGGAGCTGGATTAGAGACCAGAGAGAAGATGGAGGGACAATGCCCATCAGATGCAGGAGCTGGAAAAAGCCCTGCAGCTGCTCAGTCTTGGAGCTATGAGATGAATGGGGCAAGTCCTGGGCAGAAGAGCCAAGAAGAGGAAGCCAAGAGTTCAGAGGTCCAATGCTGTCACTTCAGAAAAGTGCAGTTCCAGGAGGAGAGGGGTCCCCGAGATATTTGCAGTCAGCTTCACCGCCTTTGCTGTCAGTGGCTGCAGCCAGAAATACACACAAAGGCCCAGATGCTGGACCTGGTGCTCCTGGAGCAGTTCCTGGCTGTCCTTCCACCAGAGATGGAGAAATGGGTGCGCGGGTGTGGAGCAGAAACCAGTTCCCAGGCGGTGGCCCTGGCCGAAGGCTTCTTGCTGAACGTGGATGTGGAAAAGATGCAAGAAAAGTTCCAGGTGTGAGAATGTACTTTTAGCAGCACTAAAGAAAATCACTCTGTATTTGTCGATTCCTTTCTGTCAGAGTTTTCTGGAATTATTAACTCCTAAAGCGAGTTGTTCTATTCTTTCAGAGGATATATTTGGGGCAAATCTTCTGTTCTGTTTCGGGTTTCGGCAATGGGCATTGGGGTCTGCTAGTTTGAAGCTGCACTATGATAATTCATTTCTATCTCTGTGCTCTTCCTTTGTTTCTCCTATCACATCATGTCCAGAAATCCTTGGAAGCTACGACTGAGTATCCCAAGGGGGGGAAAGATTCATCCAAACCCTCTCAAGAGCTGCTGTTTGGGGAGAACTTCCAGAAAGGTCAAAGTCAGGACATCACGCCAGGTAACAGAAGGTCTTTCTGTGTGATGTGAGATTTCAACATTTAGCTGATTCTTTAGCTGCACCTCATTACAATCTCTCTCTTTAACAAATCTCCTTCCCCCCTTTTTCTCTCTCTCACAGAGAGTAGAAAGTTGTCCGTGGAATTTGTAGAGTCACCTCCTCTTTGTGGTGCAGCTGAAGGATTGGCTGAACCTCTACTTCAGGTAAGGAGGAGAAATGTTGGAAAAGGTCCATGAATCTTGGATGGATTTCATTTTGTTCTAGAGTTCAATGTAATAAATTGCTGTTTCTAAGCAATATGAATTTGACATCAAGTCATTGAACATTCATGCTTAGCTTAGCCCACTCTCTCCCTTCAGAGGAGATACTTTGCAAGATGCTTTCTCCACACACACACACACACACACACACACACACCACTTCACTCTCAGATTTCATTGACCAGACAATTGTGAGCATTGGGGCTCTTCCTTCTGTCTCCCAGGGTCTGTCTCACGTACCGTTAGAAAAAAATAGAGCGTTTTTTGCCTTTTGGAAAGCATCTTTGGGGACAACCATGACGTGGTGATTGAGAATCTCCATAGACGTATACTATTACAAGCTCTCTCCTTGAATTAGTGGGGAAAAAACTGTCAAATTATTTTTGAGATTATCTGTTAACAGGGAAACTTGTTTTCTTCTTCAGGATGTTGTGTCTTTTGAGGAACTGGCTGTGTATTTCTCCAAAGAGGAGTGGTCCCATCTGGATCCTGCCCAAAAAGCTCTCCATGGAGAAGTCATGCTGGAGAATTCCAGGAATCTGGCTTCTCTGGGTAAGAACTGTATCTGTGCTCAGAAATGTAGAGAAGGCATTGGGTGGGGGGCTTAGGTGATATTTCTAGTCACAAACATTGCTTCTTTATACCCTGTCTTTATTGTTTGTAAATAATAAAGGCAGTGGACAATTCCAATATTCCTTCCTCCTATTGTTTTCCCCACAACCACCATCCTGTGACCCAGGTTGAGCTGAGGGAGACTGGCCCAAAGTCACCCAGCCAGCATTCATGCCTAAGGCAGAACTAGTACTCCCAGTCACCCAGTTTCTAGTGCCTTAACCGTTTGACCAAATTGACTTTATGGAAGAAGGAAATTTATTGGAAGATAAATTGGAAAACTGCCTTGCCTTCCTTTTTACATAAAGGAAATGTTTTGTTTTGTTTTTAAATGCTGTCTGCTCATAAAATACAAAATATTCATTTCTATGCCATAGAAGATATTAGTCAGAATATGTGGGAGAGGCCTCATGCAGGGATGGTGTGGCCTCTCTTGAGCAAAGGTCCTGCCTACCAGGGGTTCAGTATCCACTCCTGACCCTGGACACTGGCTCCTCGATGGGCGTGAGCTGCTATAAGCAGGACTGGATTTAGCCCTGAGAGGGATGTTCCCTTCCTAGAGATGTGCCCACTTGTGTACAGAGTTTACCATTAGCCTAAGTTGAGGGTGGGGAGCTATTGCCATCCAGGAATTTCCCTTGGCTTTCAGAGATTCTTCCCTGCAGACAAGTGGAGATGATACTTTCATTGAAGTTGGGTAGCTGGTGGGTATGTTGCTAACCCAGCATGATACAGTATTTGGTGCACTTAGGGAGTACGTGGAACTATGGAATAGTCCCAGGTCAAAGATTAAATCAGGGTTGTCTCTTAGGTTTAGTCCAATTCTGATGTATGAGGATCAGTAGGGATCCACTTGGTCTTTGCTAAAATCTTAGTTTGGCATCTTCATGTTTGCCAACCAAAGAGGCAAAATATGTTGATGATTTCTTGACTAGATTTCAGAAGAAAAGATTTGATTGTTCCCCTATTCTTGATACAGTTTTCATTTTTTTCTTTTTCAAGGTTTTAATGGGCAAGAAAATAAGAATTGCAAGGAAGAATGCCAAATGATCCATTCAAAAGAGGGAAAAGGGAAGTTTTCAGATCAGATACAGCCAAAGAGTGATGAAACGAAGCAATCACAAAGTGGAATGAAAAAAGGCTTTCCGAGGTCCAGTCGGCTTCATAACCATACAAGCATTGATATGAGAGAAGAACCATATAAATGCATGGAGTGTGGAAAGAGCTTTAATAAATCTGATCATCTCATTTCCCATAAAAAGACACATTTAGAAGAGAAACCGTATACCTGCAGGGAGTGTGGAAAGACCTTCTGTTATAATTACTCTCTTATAAGACATCAAAGGAATCTCAAAGGAGAAAGACCTTATAAATGCAGGGAATGTGGAAAGACCTTCTGTAATAATCACACTCTTACAAGTCATGAAAGAAGTCACAAAGGAGAACAACTTTATAAATGCATGGAGTGTGGAAAGACCTTTACTCGTAGGAGTAATCTTAACTCTCACAAGAGGATCCATACAGGAGAGAAACCATATCAATGCATGGAGTGTGGAAAGTCCTTCTGTTATAATCATTCTCTTATAATCCATCAAAGGAATCACAAAGGAGAAAGACCTTACAAATGCACAGAGTGTGGAAAGACCTTTAATTATAGCAGTAATCTTAATTCACACAAGAGGATCCACACAAGAAAGAAGCCATATAAATGTATGGAGTGTGGAAAGACCTTTAATTGTGCCAATCATCTTAATTCCCATAAGAGGATCCACACAGGAGAGAAGCCATATAAATGTGTGGAGTGTGGAAAGAGCTTTTGCAAGAAAAGAGCTCTGATTCAGCATAAAACTACCCATACAGAGGAGAAATTATATCAATGCCTGGAATGTGGAAAGACCTTTTCTTATTATAGCTCTCTTATAATCCATCACAGGAACCACAAAGGAGAAAGACCTTACAAATGCATGGAGTGTGGAAAGACCTTTACTTGTAGCAGTAGCCTTAATTCCCATAAGAGGATCCACACAGGAGAGAAGCCATATCAATGCATGGAGTGTGGGAAGGATTTTAGGAAGAGTAGTAATCTTGCCTCCCATAAGAGGATCCATACAGGAGAGAAGCCGTATCAATGCATGGAGTGTGGAAAGACCTTCTGTTATTCTAAGTCTCTTTTAATCCATCAAATGAATCACAAAGGAGAAAGACCATATCAATGCATTGAGTGTGGAAAGAGCTTTACTTGTACCAGTCATCTTAATACCCATAAGATGATCCACACAAGAGAGAAGCCATATAATTGCGTGGAGTGCGGAAAGGCCTTCTGTTATTCTCAGTCTCTTATAATCCATCAAAGGATTCACAAAGGAGAAAGACCTTATAAATGCACGGAGTGTGGAAAGAGCTTTACTTGTAGCAGTAGTCTTAATTCCCACAAGAGGATCCACTCAAGAGAGAAGCCGTATCAATGCATGGAATGTGGAAAGACCTTTACTTTTGCCAGTCATCTTAATTCCCACAAGAAGATCCACACAGGAGAGAAGCCATATCAATGCATGGAGTGTGATAAGAGCTTTAGAAGGAAAAGTGCTCTGATTCACCATAAAACTATCCATACTGAGGAGAAGCCATATCCATGCATGGAGTGTGGAAAGAACTTCTGTTATTATAACTCTCTTGTAAGACATCAAAAGAATCACAAAGGAGAAAGACCTTACAAATGCACGGAGTGTGGAAAGACCTTTAGTTGCAGCAGTCATCTTAATTCCCATAAGAGGATCCACACAGGAGAGAAGCCGTATCAATGCGTGGAGTGTGGAAAGGGCTTTAGGTGGAATTCTGCTCTTACCTCCCACAAAAGAATCCACACCGGGGAGAAACCATATCAGTGCACGGAGTGTGGCAAGAGCTTTACTCATAGCAGCCGTCTTAATTCCCACAAGAGAATCCACACAGGGGAGAAGCCATATCAATGCACGGAGTGTGGAAAGACCTTTCATTGTAGCAGTAATCTTAATTCCCACAATAGGATCCACACAGGAGAGAAGCCGTATAAATGTGTGCAATGTGGAGAAGGCTTTAGAAAGAGTTGTGATCTCACTTCCCATAAAAGGATCCATACGGAGGAAAAAACCGTATGAATGCATGACGTGTGGAAAGAGCTTTGAACGGGGTAATGCGCTCACTGGCTATAGAAGGATCCACACACGGGAGAAACAATGTCAATAATGCAAGTGTGGGAAGAGCTTCAATAGAAATATAGGTAGTCCTTGGCTTATGACGGCAACTGAGCCCAAAATTCCCACTGCTAAGCGAGACAGTTGTTAAGTGTGTTTTGCTCCACTTTACGACTTTTCTTGCCGTGTTTTTTAAGTGAATCATTGCAGTTAAGTTAGTAACATTGTTAAGCTGGCTATCCCATTGATTTTGCTTTTCAGAAGGTCACTAAAGGTGATCACATGACTTCAGGACACTGCAACTGTCATAAATATGAGTCAGTTGCCAAGCATCTGAAGTTTGATCAGGGGACCATGGGGATGCTGCAACGTCTGTAAGTGTGCAAAATGGTCATAAGTCACTGCTGTAAATTGAGGACTACTAATAGTTGTCTAATAGTTGTCTTTAGGCAAGAAAAACCAAATGTACAGGTATAGTATAGGGGGTACCTTGCTCAATAGTAGTAACTGTGCAAGGGACCTCAGAGTCCTAGTGGACAATCACCTAAATATGAGCCAGGAGTGTGCTGCAGTTGCCAAAAAAGGCAACACAGTGCTAGGCTGCATTAACAGAGGGATAGAATCAAGATGACGTGAAGTTTACTGTGATTTTTATTATTGCCTGTTCACCGCCCTGAGTCCCGTAAGGGAGATAGGGCGGTATATAAATTTAAATAATAATAATAATAAAGTATTAATTGTTGTTAATTGCGAAGTCGTGTCCGACCCATCGCGATTGGTAAGGCCACACTTGGAATACTGCATCCAGTTTTGGTCACCGCGATGTAAAAAAAATGTTGAGACTCTAAAAAGAGTACAGAGAAGAGCAACAAAGATGATTAGGGGACTGGAGGTTAAAACATATAAGGAAAGGTTGATAGAATTGGGTATGTCTAGTTTAATGAAGAGAAGGACGAGGGGGGACATGATAGCAGAGTTCCAATATCTCAGGGGCTGCCACAAAGAAGAGGGAGTCAAGCTATTCTCCAAAGTGCCTGAAGACAGGACAAGAAGCAACGGATGGAAACTAATCAAGGAGAGGAGCAACCTAGAACTAAGGAGAAACTTCCTGACAGTTAGAACAATTAACCAGTGGAACAACCTGCCTCCAGAAGCAGTGAATGCTCCAACACTGGACATTTTTAAGACATTTGTCCGAAATGGTATAGGGTTTCCTGCCTGAGCAGGGGGTTGGACTAGATGACCTCCAAGGTCCCTTCCAACTTTACTATTACTATTATTACTATTACTATTATTATTATTATTATTATTATTATTATTATTATTATTATTATTATTATTATTATTATTATTATTATTATTATTATCCCATGCAAGGACCATTTGAGTCCAAATAAATATTAGACTTTCTTCAATATGCATGCATAACTTACCTTTCTGGTGCAAGCCAGAACAAGGTGAAACAGGCTTAATAGCAGTAACTGTGAGAGGGACCTTGGATGTGGACAATCAATTAAATATGAGTTAACAGTGTGCGGCGGCAGCCAAAAAAGCCAATGCAATCCTAAATTGCATTAACGGAATCAATCAAGATCACTTGAGGTACTAATAATACTCTATAAAGCCTTAGTAAGACAACAACCTAGAATACTGCATCCAATTTTGGTCTCCACACTAAAAAAAAAAAGATGTTGAGACTTTAGAAAGAGTGCACAGAAGAGCAACAAAGATGATTAGGGGACTGGGGGCTAAAACCTATGAAGAACAGTTACAGGAACTGGGCATGGCTAGTCTAGTGAAGGGAAGGACCAGGAGAGACATGATAGCAGTGTTCCAATATTTGAGGGGCTGTCACAGACAGGAGAGAGTCATTTTCCAAAGCACCTGAAGGCCAGACAAGGAATAACGGATGGAAATTGATCAAATAGAGATTCAACCTAGAAATGAGAAATTTTCTGACAGAGAACAATCAACCAATGGAACAGCTTGCCTTCAGAAGTTGTGGGAGCTTCATCACTGGAAGCTTTCAAGAAGAGACTGGACTGCCATCCGTCAGAAATGGTGTAGGGTCTCCTGCTTGGGCACGGGGTTGGACTAGACCTACAAGGTCCTTTCCAACTCTGTTATTCTATCCTATTCTATTCTAATCCTGCTTGTGGTTTTTGCTAAGTTCAAATAGTCAAAAGGCCTTCTCTGCATGTAGAAATATTCCTGATTGTTTTTCATTATATTGTTTCAAATATTCCAATTATCACATTATTCTTCAGCCATCTTTTAGGTGAAAAAAATCTTTATTAGAGGTTATCTGATACCTCTTGCTGTTGCCTCAGTATTTCTGTTCTGATATTGGTCCAAGTATCTGGACCTAGCCCTTTTTCTGGCTGTTCTATCTTTTACGTCCCTGCTTGTCTTTGGAAAGCTCCATTGAGACACCCGATTGCTGCATCCAGAATATTGGCTGTTTCTTGCAAAATCTTGCAGGTTGTGAGCAAATCCCTTCCTTTAGCAGCTAAAATTTGTTTTCATACATAGAACTTAGTGAGTCCCTTGAGTCAGAGCTGATCCAGCCACTACCATCAGTTTGTCACAGGTTCTTTTTAAACCATACCCAGTTTGATTGACTTGAGCTCAAAAGATCCATTAAAAGTATGAATTCTAGACAATTTAAGTTTTCTTTCTCCGATAAGGGTTGTGGAGATGTTTTCTTTTGAAAAAATATCCAAGATACAAAAGTAAAACATGTAAACAACATGTAAAGTTATTTCTATATTCTCTTATACTAGATATTTAGTATATTTATGTATATTTAGTATATTCTCTATACTATTATAATATATACTATATTCCATCTATACTATAATATTTATACTGCTAGTATATTGTTAACTATTACCACTATACAGTACTTATAGAATTTTTTATTGGCCAAGTGTAATTGGACACACACGGAATTTGTCTCCGGGGCATAAACTCTCAGTGTACATACAAGCGATGTACACTGTAATAATATACAACAATATTTTTACTCTTACAAACCCTGGTCTGTCTTTAATTCCTCTCTGCGGTTTTCTCTCTTGTTTTTCTTTATTAATGGACAGCAGGTAAAGCGCTGGCACCTTCCCAACATTGATCTTGGCTTATGCGATGTCACGTTTTACGACCGCATCACTTAGTGATGGGAGTTCTGATCCAGATTCCATTCCTTAACCAATGACTTACCTGTATAAGTGGTCCTCAACATGATCACAATTGAGCACACAATTTATGTGGCTAAGTAAGAAATTTGTTAAGCGAGGATTGCCCCATTTTACGACTCTTCTTACCACATTTGTTAAGTGAATTATTGGAATTGTTAAATTAGTAACATGGTTGTTAAGTGAATCTAGCTTCCCCATTGACTTTGCTTCTCAGAAGGTCGCAAAAGGTGATCACATGACCCTGGGACCCTGCAACTGTCATAAATGTGAGTCAATTGTCAAGCATCCGAATGCCTATCACGTCACCATAGGGATGTTTCAACGGTCGTAAGCGTGAGAAATGGTTGTCATACATTTTTTCAGTCCGGTTGTAAATTTAAATGTTCACTAGACATTGTAAGTTGAGGACCACCTGTATTGGATTTCAACATAATTCAAGCACAAGCAATAGAACAAAGTCACATATATATCAATGTATCCTGTGTGAAAAGAGTTTCAGGACGATGAATTCCTCTCACAAACGAAACCAGAATGAGAAGCCGTGAAATCCATGTTCAAATATATTGAAACATCTTGAGGTATTACAGCCATGGTGGCGCAGTGGTTAGAATGCAGTATTGCAGGTGATTTCTGCTGACTGCCAGCAGTTTGATTCTCACAGGCTCAAGGTTGATTCAACTTTCCATTCTTCTGAGGCCAGTAAAATGAAGGTCCAAATTATTGGGGGCAATGGGCTGACTCTTTAAAGCATTTAGAGTACAATAAAGCACTATCAAGCAGGATATAAGTTTAACTACTATTGTGATTTTGCCTTTCTATGATACGATAAGAATAAGGAAATGTCTAAATTCAATTTAAATAAATTGGATTTATTTAAAGTTAATTGGATTCTAATTACATTTGAATAAAATTAATTTTGGATTTAAATAAAATAAAATTTTACTAGAATGGTTATTCATGAGACTTTTTAAAATTCAAGTGTATTAAAGACAGAAAAACTTTTGGAATGATTTTGAGGGGGCAATACTCGGGTTTTCAGAGATTGCGGCTACTTTGAAGCAATTTATTCAAATGCTCATTAATGGTTATAGATCGAACTTGTGAAAGGGCAGCAATTTTGGTTTTGTAGCCATTATGTCAATTTTTCCCATTACAGAAGATTGAGAAAAATGGGCTGAAAAGGACCAAGCTATTGGCAAAAGAGAGATGCTAATTGCATTCTTTTTAAATTGCTTCTTAACTATTTCCCCATTACTTTATTTCATTAATTTAGATAAATCTCTTTGTTGTTTTTGCACTGTCAAACCATGGGAGTTTTCAGCTCTTTTGGCTAGAAGAAAATTGGTATTTTCTTTAGTGCTGTTGCCTTACAATCTTCAACATTCCTGATCATATTTTCTGAGCTGTATTCCCTATTGAATACCGAAATGAAGCCATTTTTCTTTTTTCCCTCATGGAATTTGAACTTTATATGTACTCCTCAAGGTTTGCCTTCCTGCATTTTGTAATTCCACCTTTTCTCCAGTCACCTATGAGACACCATTCATTTCTCCATCATGGATCCTTGTTTTGAGGTAAAATTTCTAAGACTTCCATGATTTGAGCTTTCTCTCCATTTTGGAACTTGTTTACTTTTGATGCCGTTTCTTCAGGATTATTCTCATTTTTGCTGCTGCCACTTGCTGTTTTGAACCACAGTTGGCCGCCCAGAGGCAAGAATTTGAAAAAGCAGCTGTAATAATTGAACTCAACAAATAAAAAAATGAATAAAAGTCTTAATTTTCCTACCCCTTCACTTCCTATTTTGTGACTCTGCCAGCCCCTTTATCTTCCTTCACTTCAGGACTGAGTTTGCCCACAACCACATCACACAACCTGGGCTTGAAAGAGAGGCTCCTGTTTCTTTTGGGCCGCCACAGAGATTTTGTCAATATTCACAAGATGGCAGATTGTTCTTAGACATTAAAAAGGGAAAGTCTAGAAAATGTTGCCTGCTGGAGACAGGCAATGTTAGAGGGACCCTTTCCTTCTAGTTTAATGCCCATCATCCCAGGCCCGCATGGAACACAATCTCCCCTATTCCCTTGCAGCGTCGATCTAGCGTTGCATGCAGGATCCACCAGGGGGCTCCCTGGGCTGCCGTTACAAAGCCCTCACCAGCCCCCGCTTCAGGAGAGAACTGAGCATGCGCTCTTCCAGCAGGTCGAGAGACATGCTCGGTGCATTTTCCAGAAGAGGCTGATGGTGCTTCCGCCCTTCCTACAGGTGCGATTCTGCTCGCTCTCGCTCTCTCTCTCTCTCCCCCCCCCCCACTGCCTCCTCCCCGCTGCGAGCCTTAGGCTAAGCCTTCCCAGGAGTCCCACAGGCTGCAAGGGAGCTTTGCACGGACGGAGATAAAAACCTGACTCCGGAGTTCGGTAAGTGGGGGGACGTTTCTTTCACGGGCTGGACCGTGCATGGAGACAACCAAAACTTCATCAGGTTCGGAGTCGTGGGAAGGGGGGAGCCCAGGGTCCCATGTTCCCCTGCCGCCCCTGTGCATGCACGGGCCAGGCAGGGAAGAAATCAAAGCTCCGGACGCGCTGCGTTGCCTCCAGGAAGAACTTCAGGATCGCCAGAAAGGTTGGAGTTATTCAGGATTAGGCTAAAAGTGGGGAACCTGTTTCCAGGAGATGCCTGAATGAAAACATCATGTTAAGCTGGTTTATTGATTCGGATATTATTCTGTTTGCATTGAATGGTGGTTTGTTGATTGTGATTTCTCAGGTAGCCATAGCAGTTTGGGCCAGGCGTTTAATGAGGTTCTGCTGGCTAAAGTTACAGGGGAAGTTCAAATATTGATTGATTTACCTATGAAATCGATTTAGAAAGCCAATCATCTCAATGGCTATTTGTGACCTGAGACATTGATGATCTGGATTGTACAGAGGTTGCTTTTCAGGCTGCAAGCAGCCATCAACATTATTTGAATAAATAAATAGGAATAAGAAATCAAAAACATATTTTAAATTTATGTATCCAAATTGTTTAGTCCTTGAAAGAAGTTGATCCAGAAGGTTACTACAGATTTTTTTTTTCCACACAGAGATACATCACTACCTACAAAGATTTTCCCCATCTTCCCAGATATTGGTGGATTCATAAGAATTTCTTATTTCAGTTTTTGTGTGTGCTCAGTTGTTGGTCAACCTGTATTTCTGGAATTTTCTTTTGTTTTCCATTTCAGATATATAAATTGGAAATCTTTCCTGATTGCTCCTGAGTCTTAAATATCTTGTGTGGGAAGAGGGCTAAATGGCCTTAGGAAATTTTGACAGACCTCTTCTGATTAGGAAGACCTGTGCAGATCCATCAGTCTGTTTTGATGCTGGATTAGAGACCAGAGAGAAGATGGAGGGACAACGCCCACCTGGAAAAAGCCCTGCAGCTGCTCAGTCTTGGAGCTTTGAGATGAATGGGGCAAGTCCTGGGCAGAAGAACCAAGAAGAGGAAGCCAAGAGTTCAGAGGTCCAATGCTGTCACTTCAGAAAAGTGCAGTTCCAGGAGGGGAGGGGTCCCCGAGATATTTGCAGTCAGCTTCACCGTCTTTGCTGTCAGTGGCTGCAGCCAGAAATACACACAAAGGCCCAGATGCTGGACCTGGTGCTCCTGGAGCAGTTCCTGGCTTTCCTTCCCCCAGAGATGGAGAAATGGGTGCGGGAGTGTGGAGCAGAGACCAGTTCCCAGGCGGTGGCCCTGGCCGAAGGCTTCTTGCTGAACGTGGATGTGGAAAAGATGCAAGAAGAGTTCCAGGTGTGACAATATAATCTTAACAGGTCTAAAGAGGAACTCTCTGAGTTTTCTGGAATTATTAACTCCTAAAGCGAGTTGTTCTATTGTTCCAGAGGACTTATTTGGGGCAATTCTTCCATTCTATTTCAGGTTTCAACAATGGACATTGTAGTAGTTTGAAGGTGCAGTATGATAATTCATTTCTATCTCTGTGCTCTTCCTTTGTTTCTCCTATCACATCATGTCCAGAAATCCTTGGAAGCCGCGACTCAGTATCCCAAGGGGGGGAAAGATTCATCCAAACCCTCTCAAGAGCTGCTGTTCGGGGAGAACTTCCAGAAAGGTCAAAGTCAGGACATCACGCCAGGTAACAGAAGGTCTTTCTGTGTGATGTGAGATTTCAACATTTAGCTGATTCTTTAGCTGCATCTCATTACAATCTCTCTCTTTAACAAATCTGCTTCCACCATTTTTCTCTGTCTCACAGAGAATAGAAAGCTGTCCGTGGAATTTGTAGAGTCACCTCCTCTTTGTGGTGGAGCTGAAGGATTGGCTGAACCTCTACTTCAGGTAAGGAGGAGAAATGTCGGAAAAGTCCATGAATCTTGGATGGATTTCATTTTGTTCTAGAGTTCAATGTATAAAATTTCTGTTTCTAAGCAATATAAATTTGACATCCGGTCATTGAACATGCACACTCAGCTTAGCCTACCCTCTCTCTTCTGGGGGGATCCTTTGTGAGATGCTTTCTTCTCCTGCTTTGACATCAGATTTCATTGACCAGACAGTTGTCAGCATTGGGGCTGTTCCTTCTGTCTCCCAGGGTCATTCTCACATAGCATTACAAAAAAACCCCTTATTTTGCCTTTTGAAAAGCATCGTTGGGACAACTGTGATCTGGTGATTGAGAATCTCCATAGATATATATATAGTACTAAGTGGATTTAAGACCCAACTACCAATTGACCAAGAAAACTATTTTAGTTGGCTATGCTGAGAGGCATTCCAAATACCTCCAACTAGATCCAATCTGCTTCAGTTATGTCATCAGCCATCACTGGATCACTCTCCTAGATCTCTTCTCCTTTTGAGGAAGAAAAATTATTCTGGGATTATCTCTTAATAGGGAAATTTCTTTTCTTCTCCAGGATGTTGTGTCTTTTGAGCAAGTGGCCGTGTATTTCTCCATGGAGGAGTGGTCTCAGCTGGACCCTGCCCAAAAAGCTCTCCACGGAGAAGTCATGCTGGAGAATTCCAGGAATCTGGCTTCTCTGGGTAAGAATCCCTGTCTGTGCTCGGAAACATAGAGAAGTCATGGGGTGGGATGGGGGCTTAGATGATATTTCTGATAAAAACATCATTTATTGATACTCTGCCTTTATTTTTTGTAAATAATAAAGCTAGCGGACAAACCCCAATATTCCTTCCTCCTGCTGTTTTCCCCACAACAAGAACCTTGTGACCTGGGTTGAGCTGAGGGAGACTGGCCCAAAGTAACCCAGCCAGCATTCATGCCTAAGGCAGAACTAGTACTCCCAGTCACCCAGTTTCTAGCCTCGTGCCTTAACCGTTTGACCAAACTGACTTTATGGAAGAAGGAAATTTATTGGAAGAAAAATTGAAAAACTGCCTTATCTTCCTTTTTACATAAAGGAAATGTGGTTGTTTTTTTTTTAAAAAAAGAAATGCTTTCTGCTGATAAAATACAAAATATTCATTTCCATGCCATAGAACATATTAGCCAGAATCTGAGGGGGAGGCTGCATGCAGGGATGGTGTGGCCTCTCTTGAGCAAAGGTCCTGCCTACCAGGGGTTCAGTATCCACTCCTGAACCTGGTCATTGGCTCCCCGATGGGCGTGAGCTGCTATAAGCAGGAGTGGATTTAGCCCTGAGAGGGATGTTCCCTTCCTAGAGATGTGCCCACTTGTGTACAGAGTTTACCATTAGCCTAAGTTGAGGGTGGGGAGCTATTGCCATCCAGGAATTCCCCTTGGCTTTGAAAGATTCTTCACTGCAGACAAGTGGAGATGAGACTTTTCGCTGAAGTTCGGGATCGGGTGGATATGTTTCTAACTAAGCATGATACAGTATTCTGTGCACTTAGGGAGTACACGGAATTATGGAATAGTCCCAGGTCAAAGATTAGATCAGGAAGAAAAGGTTTGATTGTTCCCCGATTCTTGCTACAGTTTTCATTTTTTTCTTTTTGAAGGCTTTAATGGGCAAGAAAATAAGAATTGCAAGGAAGAATGCCAAATGATCCATTCAAAAGAGGGAAAAGGGAAGTTTTCAGATCAGAAACAGCCAAAGAGTGATGAAACAAAGAAATCACAAAGTGGAATGAAAAAAGGCTTTCCGAGGTCCAGTTGGCTTCCTAACTCTACAAGCATTGATACAGGAGAAAAACCATATAAATGCATGGAGTGTGGAAAGACCTTTAATAAATCTGATCATCTTATTTCCCATAAAAAGACACATTTAGAAGAGAAACCATATAGCTCTAGGGAGTGTGGAAAGACCTGTAATTATTACTCTCTTAGAAGTCATAAAAGAAATCACAAAGGAGAAAGACCTTATAAATGCATGGAGTGTGGAAAGACCTTTACTTGTAGCAGTAGTCTCAATTACCATAAGAGGATCCACACTGGAGAGAAGCCATATCAATGCATGGAATGTGGAAAGACCTTTACTTGTAGCAGTAGTCTCAATTCCCATAACAGGATCCATACTGGAGAGAAGCCATATCAATGCCTAGAATGTGGAAAGACTTTTACTGGTTGCAGTAGTCTCAATTACCATAAGAGAATCCACACTGGAGAGAAGCCATATCAGTGCCTGGAATGCGGAAAGACCTTTATTTGTAGCAGTAGTCTCAATTACCATAAGAGAATTCACACTGGAGAGAAGCCATATCAGTGCCTGGAATGTGGAAAGACCTTTACTTGTAGCAGTAGTCTCAATTCCCATAAGAGAATCCACACTGGAGAGAAGCCATATCAATGCCTGGAATGTGGAAAGACCTTTACATGTAGCAGTCATCTCAATTCTCATAAGAGGATCCACACTGGAGAGAAGCCATATCAATGCATGGAATGTGAAAAGACCTTTATTTGTAGCAGTCATCTCAATTCCCATAAGAGGATCCACACTGGAGAGAAGCCATATAAATGCCTGGAATGTGGAAAGACCTTTACTTGTAGCACTAGCCTCAATTCCCATAAGAGGATTCACACTGGAGAGAAACCGTATCAATGCCTGGAATGTGGAAAGACCTTTACTTGTAGCACTAGCCTCAATTCCCATAAGAGGATTCACACTGGAGAGAAACCGTATCAATGCCTGGAATGTGGAAAGACTTTCTCTTATAATTACTCTCTTACAATGCATCAGAAGAATCACAAAGGAAAAAGACCTTATAAATGCATGGAGTGTGGAAAGACCTTTACTTGTAGCAGTAGTCTCAATTCCCATAAGAAGATCCATACTGGAGAGAAGCCATATCAATGCCTGGAATGTGGAAAGACCTTCTCTTATAATTACTCTCTTACAATCCATCATAGGAACCACAACGGAAAAAGACCTTATAAATGCATGGAGTGTGGAAAGAGCTTTACTCGTACCGATCATCTTAATTCCCATAAGATGATCCACACAGGAGAGAAGCCATATCGTTGTATGGAGTGTGGAAAGACCTTTACTTATCGCAGTAGTCTTAATTCCCACAAGACGGTCCACATAGGAGAGATGCCATATAAATGTGTGGAATGTGGAAAGGGTTTTAGGTGGAACTGTGCTCTTATCTCCCACAAGAGAAGCCACACAGGGGAGAAGCCATATCAGTGCATGGAGTGTGGGAAGAGCTTTGCCTGGAGTTCCACTCTTTCTTGGCATAGAAGGATCCATACACGGGAAAAACCATATCAATAAAAGAAGTGTGAGAAGAACTTTGAAAGAAAAATTTTAAAACTGCACATGTTTCCTTTTTTGTATAGAAAATGGATTTCTTTCACAATGCTTTCTGCTGATAAAATATAAAATACTCATTTCCATGCCACAGAAGATATTAACAGGCATCTGAGGAGAGGGTTGCATACAGGAATGGTACGGCCTCTCTCCTTCCCCCCCAAGAATGGGCCTCTTACGGCTGCCTCGGTAAAATGTTCTCTGATAGCTTTTTGGTTTTTTATTCTCTGTGATTCGCTTTGTGTTTCATGTTGAAGAGACTAACTGTTAAGCATCAAGCAATGTTTTTTTAATGGGCAGCTTTCTGTGGCTATCCCCCCCCCCCATCTTTATAAATGCAGAGGAGATTGTCATCAAGGAAGTGGCAGCTCTAAAAAATGGAAAAACAAAAACCAAAGGAGGAGACAACGGGCGAAGAAGGGGTAAGCGAGCAGGGATTTTGAATAGACTAAGGAAAAATGGAATAAAAACCTCTTCTTTCACTCTTGCTAATAAGATGGATTAAATACTTCTTTTAAAGAGATGCAACTCTGATTTTTACTACTCAGCCGCCCTCTGCTTTACTGAAACCTGGCTAAATGAGTCAGTTGATGATAGCAGCTTGCATTTCCCAGGATTTCAGATACAGAGGGCGGACAGAATTGCAGAAACATCCGGTAAAAAGAAAGGAAGGGCGTCTCTGCTTCTATATCAACGATCGATGGTGTAAAAATGTAACCACACTAAAGAAATTCTGTGATGTGGACTTAGAGACATTGATTATCAACTGCAAACCATTTTATTCTCCATGAGAGTTTTCCTCATTCATTCTATTTGCAATGTATATTCCTCCAAAACTTGAATAAACAATGCACTACAAACTCTAGCTTACTTGATTATGTGGGCTGAAGACAGATACGCAGATTCGCTCCTTATTGTGTTAGGAGATTTCAACAGTGCTTAACATAACCCAAGACCTACCAAGATACTTTCAGCATGTCAATTGTCTTACTAGAGGCAAGAATACTTTAGGGGACCCTCCAACTCCTCGCCCTGCAAAGACCACTGCCTCCCCCTCCCATTTAATGGGCCTGCTAGAGCAGGGCTTTTCTT